GGGTGTCACATTTTATCACGCCTGCATTTAATCATCTCCTGTCTGCCTATTAATGGTTACAAATATGATACCTGTGTAGACCCCAGGAGCCTGGAGTTTAGCTGTCTCAGGGTGTAATGGCTGAGTGCCTTGAAAAGCGGGTTCGGAAAAAACGACAACAAACCTTTAGATGTCTTTGTACATGCATGTGCATTATAGAATAATTCATGTGGTGAAAAGGATGGTTTTCCACTATGTAGAGTCAATTTGTGTAGATTGATTTTTCATAACCCCCCCTAACTTGTACTTCTATAACTGTATTGAACATGTAATAAGCCTATGTCAAAATGTGGTGAAATAATAAACAAGTTACTAGCAAGTTTGAGTATCAATTTTAGAGCAATAGCAAATACATGAATGCCTCTACGTACATTCATTCATATCCACACATTTCACATACTGTTGGCTAAAATACATAAATGGAAACGCATGTTTTTAGGAAGTTAGTGTTTCTCTAAACTTGATGACATTAGGTTTGGGAAGCTGAGAAAGAAATTTGCAACCAAAGGAAAATAGGAAACATGCTCCTACAAAAGTATGAGTGCTTGCCCAAAAGCATGTAGTAACTATATGTTTGCTTAATGAATAAGTATTTCATTTTCTCTTACCAACAAAAAATACCTGGGAGCCACTTTGGTACTAAAGCAAACTGAGTTGCAATACTGAGACAGGATAGAAAGAAGTTAAGAAAAACTCCTGACAAGTACAATGAGGAAGTAGAAGGGGACATCACAGGCTGATCTGCCATTGGGTCCTCTTATCAGAGTCTCTACCTCCTCCAAACATGACTAAGGGAAAAACAGTTGATGGTAGAAAAGGAAACCCCTCCCATGCTCACAGAACTCAAAAACAAGGGCTGGTTAGTATGCATCATAGAGGCTGTTCAAAAGGTCAACCAATTGGTTAGGCACTTAGCATATTAGGCTTTTATATATACAGATGAAGTTAGCATGAGTAATGACCCTTACAAATGTTAAGAAAACCTACAATAGCTTTGCAAGAAAATAAAATACACAATTAAAAATAGCAACAGTTACCATTTCCCCCCGAAAATAAGACATCCTCCAAAAATAAGACCTACTTACAGGTTTCCTTCTGAGTGAAATATAAGGCATCCCCCAAAAAATAAGGCCCCCCTAGGCTAAACATGAGAGATTTGGTCCACTGATTCTAAAAGAAATGGAGTCACAAGACATTCACCAGGAAATTCAGGAATTGGATTGTTATGATGATGTTCCAGAAGATGATGACATGATTGTCATTGAATAAATGAGTAAATTCTTGATACTGTAGGATTCACAGTTTGTCTGGTTTGTGTTGACAACTACTGTACTACCGAACTGTGTACAGGTAATAAATTTCCTTTATTTTCATTTAACAATAAATGTGTACTGTATTCTTCTTCATGGAAAAATAAGACATCCCCTGAAAATAAGACCTAGCACATCTTTGGGAGCAAAAATTAATATAAGACACTGTCTTATTTTTGGGGAAACAGGGTGTTAACAATATAATACTGTTGTTCTCTAATCATTGTATAATTGCCAAACATATAATATGCATTTTCTTTTTTTTCCTTTTCTTTAAAAAAATACATTTTATTGATTTTTCACAGAGAGAAAGAAAGAGGGATAGAGAGTTAGAAACATAGATGAGAGAGAATCATCAATGCTGCCTCCTGCACAACCCCCACTGGGGATGTGCCTGCAACCAAGGTATATGCCCTTGACCAGAATCGAACCTGGGCTCTTTCAGTCCTCAGGCCAGTGCTCTATCCACTGAGCCAAACTGGTTTCAGCTACGCACTTTCTTATATCCTATATTTAATACCTTTCCTGTTGTCTTCTGTTCAAGAAAACACAAGTTTGCAGGTGATTATTGTTACCACAATGATAAGTTGAATTTTCCCTATTATATAAATATAATGACAATTGTTGTTTGTTTATTTATCTCTAAAAATTAAAGATGTATTAATATATAAAAATAATAGAGGTTTAAAACTTCAAAATTGATTACATGTTTGACATGATAATATTTTGAATAATATATATTGTGAGGGAAGAGAAGGTGAGGCATAGTTGGAGGGAGCAAAGAGGGAGGATAAGTGATGGACATTTGTAATAATGCCAATAATGACCATTGTCTTAAAATAGTTAATTGTGATGGTATAATGTAGGCCATTATATTAATGGCTGAATGTTTCCCTCAAAGTTTTACCTTCTTCTGAGGAAGGAACTCAATGAATTTGATAAGACTTATTAAAGCAAAATGTGGAAAATATTAATACTTGTTTACTTTGGTTGACAGGTGTATGAGAGTTATTAAATATCATTAGACTCTTTGCCTTAAGCAGTTCAATAACTTGCACACAGAAATGTAATAAAAAATGTAAACTAAAAACATCATTGAAATATTCACTTTTAAATATATAAAATATTTCTTGCAATTTACTTTACCATATCCCTGTTGAATACAGATGCAAAAATTCTCAACAAAATATTCGCTAATCAAATTCAAGAACACATTAAGGGGATTATACAGCCTGACCAAGTGGGATTTATCCCTGGGATACCAGCATTATTCAACATTACACAAATCAATAAATGTAATTCATCACATCAATAAATAAAAGATAAAAACTGCTGATTATCTCAAGAGATATTGAAAAAACAACAAATAAAACATCTAATGCAATACAGCATCCTCTTGGGACAAAAACTAATTGATGGTGTAGAAGGAACATACTCAACATAATAAAGGCCGTATAGGACAGTGTTAGCCACAGCTAACATTATACTGGATGGAGAAAAATGGAAAGAGTTTCCTATGAGATCAGGAACAAAGCAAGGTTGCCCACCATCACCACTTCTACTCAATATAGTACTAGAAGTCCTAGAGCAATTAGAAAGACAGAGACATAAAGATATCCTGATGGGGGAAGGAAGCAGCCTTGTTGCTATTTGCAGATGATAGAATCTTTTATAAAGAAGATTCCAAAGAGTCAATTAAAAAAAAAACACTATTGAAATGCATCAATAAATTCAGTAAAGTGGCCGTTTACAAAGTCAGCTTACAGAAATGAGATCCCTGTTGATACATAAGTGATGTTTGAGAAAGAATGGCCTAACAAATATAAAAACCAGTCAATCAACCCATGGGCCCATCAAAAAAATTTAGAGAGGTCTTCTCTGTGGTGGGGGTGTTGAATGAATGAAAGCTTGTTCCCACTGATCGAAGCAGGCACAAATGCCACATCTTCTCAGCTACCGCATCAACTGATTCCTTAAGTAGTGAAATCAAGAGTCTTGAGTTACTATTGACGATGAGCCTTGCTCATACACAGTACTACCAAGGAAAGGGGCAAAGAACATCTAATGGTCTCTACACCTTGGCCAGCAAACACACACACAAATAACTGAACCACAAAAGGCACTCAGCACATAACCACTGGCTCCATTATTTGAACTTCTTCGATGAGGAAGCAAAAAAATTTAAAATGTCATTTTCTTGAAGCCTTTTGACAACAGCAAAAGTTTGCGGGAGACTTTTAAACACCAATGCATCTCATTAAGTCGTTTTTACTACTATTTAAAAAAATTATTGATTATATGAGGTGTGTGTTATAAACATGTATTTTAAAAAAGACAGGCTGGTAATGAGGCAATATAACAACAAAACAACTTTTGATTTATTCGGCTCACCATGCATTAAATATAATATATTTTGTAAGAAAAACAGATTATTTTACATGACTTGATGGGGAAAGCCTTAGCTCTGCAGCCCTTGGCCAGTCTCCTTAGTAAAAGGAACAAGGATAGATTTCTCAAGGCTTCCTTTGACAACTCAATGCCTTGGTTTTAGGATGCAATTTATTCTCATAAAGCTAAACCTGTCTCTATTTCCAGAAAGGCATTCCTTCTTGAAAAAGGCAATATTAGATGCTATTTCCTTCCCCCACAAAACAATACTATTCCTTTGAATGTAGAAAATTCTAGCCCAATCCCAGATCCCAGAAAGCTACACATACACACACACACACACACACACACACACACACACAAACACACACACAAAAACACAAACACATACACACACACACACACAAACATACACACACCTATAAGCATACTCATTACAGTGTCTTAAAAAGTACAAACTTCTAGCTATAAAATAATATAAGTCATGGAGATATAATTCACAGCATGGTGACTATAGTTAATAACACTATATTGTATATTTTAAATTTACTTAAAAAAAAAAAAGTAGATCTTAAGAGTTCTTATTCCAAGAAAATTAGTTTGTGACTATGAATGGTGGTGGGAGGTAACAAGACTTAGCCTGTGATCACTCCACAATGAATGCAAATACTGAATCATTAAGTTGTCTACCTGAAACTAATACAATGCTATAATGACAAGAATGGCTCAATGAAAACACACATGGCCCTTTTCTTCCACTGAACTTTCCTGCTAGAATCTAGATGGGGGTCACCCATTAGCTGAGACTGAGTGAGGCTGGGCCTGTCTTTGAGCTGAAGTTTGGCTCTACCTGCTTCATCTTTTTGGGACCATGGACTACCTGGGGCATATGCTTTCACCAAGAGGGCAGAGACATAAGAGGACATGAGATGGGCAAGGGTCTGACAATATCTGAGATCAATTTCCTATCCTGGTGAATAGTTCTGTAATTTCTTTGTTTTCAATTTTATTCTGTATTTGTTTCAGGTGTACAGCTTAGTGGTTAGACAATCACCTACCTTACATAGTGTTTTCCTCGACATTTCCAGTACTGTAACAAAGTTATATAATAGTATCGACTAAATATCCTGTGCTTTCCTTACTCCCAGTGGCTATTTTGTAACTATCAATGTATGCTTATTAGTCCCTTCACCTCTTTCACCCAGTGCCCCAATCTTCTCCTCTCTGGCAACCCCCAGGTCACTCTCTGTGTCTATGAGTCCGAAAAATATGGAATTCTTTAGGAATCTGGATGCCATCCTTGCATAGGGGCCATGCTAATTGTCTTTGAATCATTCCATTTTTTTTTAACTTTTAAAGTACAGTTGATTATTTTTTATTTACTTCAGAGAGGAAAGGAGGGGGAGAGATAGAAACATCAATGATGAAAGAGAATCATTGATCAATTGCCTCCTGCACTCCCCACACTGGGGATCAAGCCCACAACCCAGGCATGTGTCCTTGACTAGAATCGAACCTGGGACCCTTCCTTCCTCAGACTGATACTCTATCCACTGACCCAAAACATCTAGGATTGCATTTTTACAATTTTAGTATATTAGTTGTTGTAGCAAGTGTACTCCTGCAACTATTTGAAGGTTGAAAGATTTGCTGATAGATGTGCTGAGTATACCATCAGGATCTCATTGCCCATAAATTGAGGATGATGAATCCATCACTGGAGGGTTATTTTTGGAATCACCTGTGAAAATGCTTCAAAAATGCGTAACTAATCATTAATACAACATGGTTGGTCCTATAACCTGTCTACTTCTTGATTACTTTAATAAAAGCTCTGCAGTAGAACGTAACACATGGGGCATTTCAGTTTCATCTGTCTTGTTACCTCTCAGTTGTTACTTATCATGTGCTTTATATATAGGCCTAAGTGATCAGGCATCAAGCCAACTGACCAAAAGGCCGGTAGCTATGATACACAATGACCACCAAGGGCAGACATTTAATGCAGGAGAGGAAACCACAGGTAAGGAAACATGGAACAGACTGATGGATCTCAGATAGGTCAGGGGGAAGGAGAGAAGAGATTAACCAAAAATCTTATATGCATATCAGAGGCCACAGGGCAAGGGACTCCACTGGTGCACAAACCCATGCACCAGGCCTGTAGTACATGAAATAAAAATATGTATTGAAATAAACATAATTGAATTCTGCCTGCATTATTTACTGGTTGTAAGATTGTGTTCAATTACTAGCATTAAGCCTTAAAGAAACTGTCTTAAAAAGCTGGAAAAAATAATCCCTCCTCTCTCACAATTATTTTAAATAGTGAAAGGAGCAATATTTTACTTGTGAGTCACTTAGCCATGCATCTAGCACATTAACACATGTAAAGATTACTTGCTCTCTTTCCCTCCAATTGGAAATTTGTATAACTGGAGAAATGAATAATTTGTCATGTGCACATTTTCAGGTAATAGCTCCAGTCATGCCAACTCTGTATGTTAAGTTGTAAATACTTAGAGTGAATCTATGCTACAACAGGCATATTTTTGCTACCAGAGCTTCAAAATGCTAAACATCATTAGATTTTTACTGTGTTTTCTTTTCCAGGTGTGTATGCATTGGAAACACAATGAAGTCTGTCTGTCCCCCAAAACCTGCTATGTCAGCAGGAATGACTGACAGGTTATGGGGGGCTGGGAGGAGGGACTGTCATAGAGTAATCAGGGAAAGATGCAAATCCACAAAATAACATCCTAATTCCATTGGATGCAATATTATGTCAAGTAAGGTGTAATGGGTTGCAATTTAACAGAGATTCATGGCGAATGGCACCCTGGACAATCCCAGGATGTAGGCAACATATGCTAAATTCCTCAGGGTGTCATGAGAGGGGCATGTGTGCTTGTTAGGGATGTGCCAGGGCATAGGCAACATATGTATTATGTTGCTCTCGGGAGAGGAGAGAGGATTACATGCAGAAAGACCTAGTCCGAAAGAAGAGTTTGCATCCTTTCTCGTACAGTTGGAAAAAATGACAGCATTGGAAGACAGCTTTACATTCATTTTTCTGACCAGAGGACACCTCAGAACAGAGTTTGGAAACTCCTAATGCAGAGGAAGAAGCATGGATTTGGGAGTCAAAGGAATTCTCCTCCTGTTATGATCACACTCCAGTACCTTCGCCTCTCTAAGCTCTCATTTTCTTCTCAGTAGAATGTGAACAGTGAGAGCATTTTTTAAAACAGAATTGTTAAAATAACTGAACCATAAAAATGAGAGCCAACATATATTGAGAGCTTCCCATGTGACAAGAACCATTGTAAGTATTTTCCACGTATAATCTACTTTTATCCTCATGAAAACTCTATGAAGGTACCTTATCTTCTCTTTCTCCCAAATGGTGTCCCCTAAATGTGTCAGGTTGAGGATATGAAGAAAAGTTCATGGGGGGAGTACATACAGTTAAAAACAAACAAACAAAAAAATAAAAAAACAAACAAAAAAAAACATGTTGAGTTCCGGTTAAACTGGAGAACCTATGGTTATTTTTTTTTTTTCTCTCTCCTTCCCATTCCTTTCCTCCCTGCCCCTCCTCCTCCCTCACTTCCCACCTTTTCCTTTGTCTTTTCCTTTCCCCTTTCCTTCTCTCCTCTAATTCCAATCACTTCTCTTGCTATCCAGTCCCTTCAATGACTTTGGACAAAGCAGGAATTAGTCGCCTACAGACTACCCTAAATGTTTCTACATCCATCTCATCCCTCTCCTTCCCTTTAAGGATGAGGACAGACAACCACTCCTAAAAGTGACCTCTGCAGGCTAAGAACCCCAGCACTGGATCCATTCCTACTACCTTTCCTGACTTACTGTGGTTCAGTCCATTCACCCCCAAACACATGAAGCTTTCAGCAGCCTACCTTGTCCCTTTAGAAAAGTTGTCTACTTCTAATCACAACCCAATCTGAGCTACATATAGAAAGCCTTCCCTCCCCTCACCCCACTCCCAGCCTCCATTTTCAGTACTTGGAAATTCTCTAAAGTCATCTAGTATATGTCCCTTGGCAAAATAAAATCTTCTTGACATATTTTTTTCTCTCCAGAGTAATAGATGTTGAAGTCCCACTGTCCCCCTTCTGCCCCTCACCCAAAAACCTATTCATTTCATTGTCCTGACTCCCAGTGGAGTACAGAACTGGATGTGGTATTTGCTTTTACTTTTTTAAAAATATATTTTAATTGATTTTTTTACAGAGAGGAAGGGAGAGAGAGAGTTAGAAACATAGATAAGAGAGAAACATCGATCAGCTGCCTCCTGCACACCCCATGGCCCCACTGGGGATGTGCCCATAATCAAGGCACATGCCCTTGACCGGTTTCAAACCTGGGACCATTCAGTCCGCAGGCCGATGCTCTATCCACTGAGCCAAACTGGTTTTGGCTGCTTTTACTTTTATAACCCAAACTAGGACCTTCAACATCAATGCATTTTCCTAAGAGCTGATCAGGATCCTGAGCTAAGTTGTTCCAGGGGAGTTGGATTTCACCCGAAAGCTCAGGCACATTCCCTGCACTTAAGAGCTTGTATGGCTCCGTGCTGTCATCAGAAAGAGTACTTCCTTCAAATTTGCAAAATCACAGGCTTTCGAGACAATTCCTCAAAGCCTCTCCTAGCTCCTCTTTGCCATTGGTATTGAGGGTGAGGTCAGTGGCGGGGATAGGTGCAACAGGAAGAGACAGACTAGGGAATCTGTCACAACAGCTTTAGGGAGTCAGTCAGGGGCCCAAGGGGTCACTATGCATGACAATCTCAAATGTCATTAGAACCTGTGGGCAAGGAAAAGGTACAAATCACCAAGGGTTTGAATTTTGTTTATTGCGGGTGAGTTTCCTGCAAAAGGCATGATCCTAAACCAATACATTCAAAAGACTATGCAATAATACCAGATAAATGTCTAGCATTTCCCCCCCCAGGCCTTTGAAAGAACATAACCACGTAAAAATACAAAATGCCCCTTTCCAGGAAGTTACACTGTGATTCTGGTATCTTAGGTACCACTTGATGGGATACAGTTAATGAGAAAATTAAGCCCTGGCCACAACGCCACATCTTCCTTTGTTCTTAATGAACATTGACATTAGGGCTCAATTAACAATGACACGTACAGTCACCTGAGCCTTTGCTCTGATTCCAACTCAGTCTGCCTGGGCCAGAAGGAGAGTCCCCTGTGTGATCAGATCAAAGACCCTATGCAGTGTCTTTTCAGTGCAGGGCAGAGACAAATTAATCATATCTATCTGATTTGAAGTAGCATGGTTGAAGGACCACTGGGGGAGAGGAGAGAGCATGGAGAAGTCAGACTCTAAACAAGTTTATGTCACCAAGAGACAAGGTCTCGTGCTAAGCAGTATCTGTTTGCAGTTATCTGCTTCCTATTTTTTTCTCCTCTTGTTTAAAATTAAATGAGCACTTTTCTTTTTTTCATAACAGATATAAAAAAACATTCTTCAGTCTTTATGGTTAGGATGTTAACTACAATTACATCACTATATCTTTATCTGCTTCGTTATACATTTTTTTATTTTTATTTTTTCATTCCAACCTCTTTGCGGAGCTCTTAGGGAGAAACTTTTGCTAATAATTAATGAGAGGATAATCCTGAGGAGACCATTTGAAATTGTTAAGTGATTATGAGTGTCATTTTAGAATCCGTATCAGCAAAATTTGGATTGGAAAGAAATGGTTGCATTGGCTCTTTGCATCTGGATGGATTGATATGTAAATGTGACAGATTCTGTCATCAAAAATCAATATAAAGCAATGTGTATGTATACATTCTTATAGAAAAGGATTGGAGTGCTCATGAACTTTGAGGGAGAATCTGATATTGAGATAATCAAAGTGCACCTTATAATCTGGGCATAAAGTGGTATATTAAATTCAATCACTCTTTATTCCCAATGCATGAAATTTGTGCACATTAAAAGGGAATTAGAAAAAAATATTTTAATATTGCTATTTGCACTTTCTCTATAATAGAAGTGTCAGATATGAAAGGAAATTAGTAATATGTATATGAAAATCTTCCTCCTTGTCAGAGTCTTCGGCATGCCACGTGAACCAGATTCAAGTCCCTGCCCACCGATGGAGACCAGTGAGGCTAATGTGAGGGAGCAGAGTGGACGGTGGTGGAACTGGGTCCAGGATGAAGCCAGAGACCTATTAGGCAAAGCCTTTTCAGGTATGGGGAGGATTTTGACTTTTGTCCTCATCTCTAATGGGAAAAGTGTTGGCATTAGGTAGGGAGGTCATCAGAATCACTTTGGATCAAGGTAGGAGAGAGACCATCAAGAGGTAGATCCAT